TATTTTATCACATATTTTATCATATTTTGTTATATTTTATCATATTTTAATATATTTTATCTATTTTATTTTAATTTCGGTTTTATTTTCGGTTTTTGATTTTTAAGAGATTCAACCGAAATCGAACCAAAATATATTTGATTAATATCGAAACCGAAAAAATAAAACCAAAAACCGTTGAAACCGAACCGAATTCATTTTTTCGGTTTGGTTTTCGAGTAAAGAATCGGTTCGGTTAAAAAATGCCCAGCCCTAGATAGCATAGAAGACTTTTCCTCCAATGTACCAATTTAAAAAAATGCATAGAAGATTTTTCAGCGTTTCCACATGGTTTTGTTGGGTGTGAAATTCCATTGCAACTTAATGTCAGGCTTAATCTCCTATTTAGTTTTCTAATTTATAAATTTTAAAATTATTGGTTTTATTTTAAAATTTAAGGATATTAGCTCATTAATAATAAAGTAATGATAAAAAGAATTAAAATTTAAGATAAAAATTTAAAATAATGATCTAATTTATTTCAAATTATTAAATTAATTTATACATATAATATTAAATATCTTAAACTTTAGTCATGTCATTGAACTCATATTTTAATCCCTAATCCTGTTTATCATTATTTTTAATAATATGATTAAGAGAAATTTCTCTTTAATTACAAATTTAAAGGATACACGTTAAATTAAATGTTTATAGCTCTTGTTGAAACACTTTCTAATTACCTTCTGGGTAACTTCAGCAGGTGAGCTCTCTCTTGGATCAGGGCGATCATGCTTTATCTAATTAAAGCTTAATTTTTTAAAATGATGCTTAATTTGTTTCTTGCTCTTCCACTTTAATTGGATGTTACTGATGTTTTCAGCACTAACAAATGTTAAGCTTTTCCCCTTTTTTATTCTTTAAAGCATGTAGAATACATCTTGAAGCCACATGAAAATTATTTTAGTGATATTTGAAGTACTCAATTTTCTTTTTTTAGCCGTTGAACTCGTTTTATTTTAAATATTACATTTCTCAATGTTTATAATGCAGCATATAAATAGGTAATTGAGACATATTTTCACATATTTATTTAATGTGAAGGCTGTAATGTTTCCTTATTAAAAAAAAAGTGCAGTTAATTGTATTGAAATTATGATATGAATAAATCTTTTAATACTTATTTTGTTTATTTTTAACAGGCTTAATTTAGTTTTTTTAATTCTTTTAGATATAAATTTTAAATAAAAATTTAATAATTTATATAAATAA